GGCTGTGTTATGTATATGGGTCAAAATAATACTTTTTTACAAAACCGTGCGCACGTATGTCACCGATCTTGATGCGCTTTTGGTATGTTATAGTGCATGGTAAAAAGGTTTCAAAAAAAAATTTTTAGACCCGCTCCCCCCTCCTACCCCCCACTTCCGGTATAAACGTCCATTTTCGATCTATATTTTTTCTGAAGGCCTGAAGCAATTAAAAAATCTGAAAAAATTCACAAAAATACTTTTCAACAATCCAAACAACCTTGAATTTTTTCAGATTTTTTGAGTGCTTCAGGCCTTCAGATAAAATCATTAAAAATTCTAAAAATCGAGATACGGCGGTATGAGCCGATGTAGTACTAGGAAATTTTTTCAGTTATTTTTCGCATTAAAAAAACATAACCTCAATTTTTTTCAGATTTTTTCAGATTACCTAACGCACCTTTTTACGAAAATAATTTTTTTAGAACGATACGGAGCCTCGAAAAATCTGGAAAAATTTTTTTCTTGTTTTTTTCATCAAAATACATGACCTCCAATTTTTTCAGATTTTTTAATTGAAGGCGATAGCTTCTAGGGCCGAAAAATGCCATTTTTAACAAAAAAAGGTTCCTAGAACCCGATGGTTCCGGTAAAAAAATTTGAAAATATATTTTTTGGATTCCTTGACAAATTTTAATAAATTTTGACCGTTCAGAATTCCGATTGAAGCCTCCTATTATAGAAAAAATAATATATAATATATGTAGGAATAAATATTCACAAGTGATATAGACGTGTAGTTTTCTCAGATTTTTAGTGGTGAGGTCAAAAGTCAGATGGAGGTATCCATAAAACGAGACCGATTGTGATGTGTGCGTGGGGCAAATCTTTCAGTTTAAAGTTGGAATTTTTCAAGCTCTCGTAACATAGCCTGTTATGACAGGGGGCAAAAAATTTATTTTCAATCGTTAATAGATCAAGAAAACAACCATGTTTGAGAAGAACTAATACATACATCTTATAAATGGAGATTTTATCATTCTCTGACTGGAAAAATCGAGATTTTTCATGCTAAAGAGAAAAAATTGAAATTTGGTCGACGTTTTTGAGAATTTTAGGCAGCGCAGTGTGTACTCCGCTTACGTATTAGTGTAACGTTAACTTGACTAGTTCGGTAGGCGAGGGAGCCTCCTTGATAAGTGGAACTTTTCGGCAGTGTCTATTCACACCCCGGCCGTGTAAAAACGGAAGGCCAAAAACGAAAATTTGACGGAAATATTCCGTTTTCCGTTTTCTTCCGTTTATCTTAAAGATAATCTCGAAAAATGCAAAGATGATTGCCCGTATTATTCCGTGAAAAGCTCCGAGCTTTTCAACTTGCCCGTAAACTTCCGTACAGGGTATGAAAGATTTCCGTTTTACCCGTATACGTCCGTATGGGTATAAGGGTCTACCCGTTGACTTCCGTTTTACCCGTATACGTCCATATGGGTATAAGGGTCTATCCGTAGACTTCCGTTTTGTCCGTAGAATTCCGTATGGGAAGAAGAGACTACCCGTAGACTTCCGTTTCGTCCGTACACTTCCGTATGGGTATAAGGATCTAACCGTAGACTTCCGTTTACGGCTCCTGTTACCCAATATCATCTCCCACTCCTACTGTTCGGGAAAAGAGTCGCCTTGCGCGGCCGCAAAGCCACGTTTTTTGTAACGTAATTGTTTTTAACTTTTTAACCGTTCGAATCTCCAGCTTTAAATTTTGCACAGAGCTTCATTATTAGTCTATCTTTTGATCGCAATAGTAACGAACAAGATCAAAAGGGGTAAACATGACAAGAAATCGAGTCAACTTTCAAGTACATTTTCTATATGTAAAATGATTTTTTCCGGAAAACTAATGTCATCATCGGAAAGTGCTGACAAAAATCATACGCTAAAGAATTTAGTAACGTTTATAAGTCTCAAACGAATTCTACTTCTTCAAAAATACCTCCTACAATACAGGAACAGTGTATAACAATAATGAATATGATATAAAATTGGAAAATTTGTTGGATTGATGGAAAATTTGTTGGAGGATATAGTTGATGTGGCATCCCTGAACTGTCAACAATCGTTTGTCAATAAATTGTCAACACTTTACACAGTGATTGAGATGATTGAAAAGAATAAAATTTTAAATATGCAGGTTGTCATTAATGAAGAATCGCAATCAGTATAAGATATGAAAATGCAAGATATTTTGATCAAACTGAGTAATCTTAATTTTATAACTAATTATAACGGCCCAGAATCTGTCATTAAAAAACGAAAACGTCTCTTAAAATTATTGCAATATTTTAACAATAATGAGAAGCTTCTTCAAAATCCGAAAGATTTAGAATTGACTGTATCACTATTGACGAAAATTAAAAATACTTGGTTTGAAGGAAAGGAAGTTGAAATTGTCAATGCTCCTCCTGAAAAGGAAAGAAAATAACAAGCACCTAGTCAAGAAAACGAATTAGTACCTCCAAAAACTATTAATTTTCGAGGAAAACCAAGACATGCGAATGTTACCAATAATTCGTACTCTTCTAAGAAAAAGAAACCCCATGCGTGTAATTGACAGTAAAATATATTTTCATCATAATATGAATAATCTCGTACAATTATTGGAAGTTCTTGTATAATAATATATCAATACAAAATTTATCTCATTGTACGTCTGCATTATTAAAATATTAATCGATTTGAATAAAAAAGTCCTAACAGAAATGCAATCTACTAGTAGATCACAGCCCCATACAAAAGTTAAAAAACAAAACGGAAGTCTACGGTAAGTATCTTCTTCCCATACGGAAGTCTACGGACAAAACGAATGTCTATGGGTACTCTTTCGTACCCATACGGAAGTCTACGGATAGATCCTTATACCCATACGGAAGTGTACGGACGAAACGGAAGTCTACGGGTAGTCTCTTCTTCTCATACGGAGGTCTACGGACAAAACGGAAGTCTACGGATACCCTTATACCCATACGGAAGTCTACGGGTAAAACGGAAGTCTACGAGTAGACCTGTATACCCATACGGACGTATACGGGTAAAACGGAAGTCTACGTGGATAGACCCTTTTACCCATACGGAAGTCTACGGACAAAACGGATGTCTACGGTTACTCTTTCGTACCCATGCGGAAGTATACGGACAAAACGGAAGTCTACGGATAGATCCTTATACCCATACGGACGTATACGGGTAAAACGGAAGTCTACGGGTAGACCTTTATACCCATACGGACGTATATGGGTAAAACGGAAGTCTACGGGTAGTCTTTCATACCCTGTATGGAAGTTTACGGGCAAGTTAAAAAGCTCGGAGCTTTTTACAGAATAATTCGGGCAATCATCTTTGCATTTTTCGAGATTATCTTTAAGATAAACGGAAGAAAACGGAAAACGGAATATTCCTGTCAAATTTTCGTTTTTTGGCCTTTTGTTTTTACACGGCTGGGGTGTGAATAGACACTGCCTAACTTTTCGGTAACGGTATGATGCATATGGGTAAAATATGAATAGTGTCCCGGCGCCACGCGCAAGCAGCCAAAACGGCCCGATTCCTCAGTTTTAAACTCACTCGCAAAGGGTTAAATATTATTCAGAAAATTAAACCAAAATAAGTTTTCGATAGGTTTTTAACTTAGCTTTCTAGTAGTGAGGTGAAAAATGCAAAAATATTGAAAAATGGAGCTAAAACATCCCTCATAAAAATGTCTAGAGTTAAACTCCGATTGGCTTTATGAGTTAGCTAGATCTCACGATTTTACTTAAGAAATAATTCTAAAATAAAGGACTTCTTCGATATTGTTCAACAGTGCAAGGTCTTGAAAATACCTACATTTTTTGTTGTAAACTTTTTAACGTAAAGTTTATAGTTCAAATCTTCGTAATTTCAAAGAGCCCAATTGATTAAATTCCATAATTTGCAGTGTGGCATTTTATACTACCTGATTTCTAACATTTAACACAAACTATTCTCGGTGTCAAACTGCAGTTGCGAATTTTTCCACTTTCAAACTAATTTGACTGGAATATTTGGAACATTATTTAACCAGGGGACTTTTCCCCGCAATGTAAATGAGAAACATTTCGAGTAGTACAATATTATTTTTTTTTACGAAATGTAAACGTTATGAGCATTTCAAAGATTTTCTTTGTAAGTCAGCAAACGAAAAAATTTTATTCAATCTAATGATCATCAAATTTTTTCTAATTGTTTCTAAAAGACATACTACTAAATTTATTTAATTTTTGCACCTTTCCTTACAGGGGCTAATAATTCGTCACAAGTCGAATTTTGATTGTGATACGATTAAGATTTTTTATCACAAAATTTTCAAAAACTTAAAAAAGAAAAGAATGTGTTGAAAAAAATTTGCTGTATTTTTGACACGTAATTTACCACTCTTGAATATACAAAATTATACTCTTTTTATATTATATACTTATTAGACATAGAAAACAAGATGCATATTTTGCTAAAGAATTAAATAATTTTCTTACAAGTGTATTTTAAATTATTTTTCATGACGAATTTCCAAAAACAATCATTCACTGAGTATACTTAATACATGCCAGTCAGTTTAAATCTACCTTAAATTGGAGTAGACTGAATAATAAGGCAATATCCAAATTTCTAATCCGAAATAATCAATCAACTTTTTCTTCTGTATATCAGTAATGATTTGATTGAGTAAAGAGCGATGAGATATAATTTTATTGATTTTTGCAAATTTGTAGATTTCAGTTAAATTGGCGTTCATAAACCTTCGTATAGATTATATGTAAATTTTAAGTAGATTTGACCAATAATCCAAAAATTAATCTGATTTGATTTATTTGAATCTTGTGATAACAAGAATATCGATTTTGAGTAGTTTGACAAATAAAAAATCAGTAGTAAATAAGAAATGAATTGTAAAGAAGTATTTAACCAATTAACATGTGTTAAGCACTTGTAGTAATTTATCACTCAATTACCAATAGTAGAGGAGTAACCCACTGCAGAAGTCATGTTTGAATGTGACGTAGATGATACATCAATTTTTTTATTATATAAACTTGGTTGACCAGTTGCCATCAAAGTGTTTTTTTTCCTTCGTTTCACTTGCTGTCGAAGTGCATGTTTGATAAATTTTTTTGACTGAACTTCTGAACAATAATTAATACATGAAGTTTGGGTTTTACAAAGTTTTGAATGAGTTGCATCCATTGCTGCAATGATATTGGCACATCACATGCTCACTATTTCACAAAGTACATAGTTATTTCTAAGGATTGTATGAATGGAATGGAAAAATTCATAACACATGTACACAATACTTTTACATGTATGTTTATTTTCAAGATAACTGAACTGTTGTTTTGTTTACTTTGTTTTGAGTCCTCAAAATGTGTCAATTGAATGAGAATTAAAATGACTTAATTTAACAAGCAATATGTTTCTCTCTAGTAAACAATTCAGTGAAACAATAGTATAGAGTGTCCACTAAAATAATTATTTTTAGCTTATATTAAATAAAAATCATTATGAAGTTAAGACTCAATTTTGACACGTTTTGCGGCAACTTCATTCCGTAAACAGTTAAGTTAATTGCAAGATGTTCTGCAAAGCAAGTTGAAGAATATAATTTTAATTTTTTTTCTGACTGTTATGACCCAGACACGAGTTTTGAAAACGATAGTGTTTGCATACAGTACAAGTCAATAGCCCACAGCTTTCCTTTCGCTTTCGGCAACGTATTAGTTTTCAATTTACGTGTACATCTCTTTACTAACCTTTTTTTGGTAGAGTCCATCGTATTGTGTCATAGCCTTTAGTTATACATAAACAAGACGTATGTGTTATGCGTTAAGGAGTCCTAAATTTTCTCAAAAACTATGATCAGCTTTTTTATTTTTTCTTACTCATTCAATCATTAACAATGTCAGAAAATGTCTTAACTTTAAAGAATAGTTATGAGGAAGAATTACAAGAAAAGAAATCTTTTTCAATTGAAAAATGGGCAGGTATGGTTATTGTGCCAAATTAAACTAATGTTATAACATGGAACTGCACAGATTTTTTTGCTAGAAATAATCACATCAATTTTCTAATTAGTCTGTACATTTGACTTGATTATTACCAATGTTGAAATTCAATTGCATTAACATTTTCAAAATGTAATAAAATTAAAAACATTCAGAAACACAAACAAACAAAATTAAAAACAAAAACAAAGACTATGTCAATCAAGCTAAGAAATATTCTAATAAGTTTCTATCAGGCTATATAGTACTAGATTTACATTTTATCAATTACAAATGATCGATATCGAAACATTTGTGTTTATCACTTAAATTTATTTGAAAAAGCTTAGATAGTATTGTAAGGTACAGTAATTTTTCAGATTAAAGTTTATTCTTTGTTATTAATTAACTCATTTGTACGCAGGTAGAGTTTTTTACTCACAAAGCATGCAATAACAATAATTTTAGACATTTTTTTTGCAACAAAATATTTTAAATAAAAAATTGAAATCAAGTTATTATTTTTTGTTACCGTCCTTAGAAAGAAGGTACTTGATTAATTTGAACAATAAAATATTTTTGTTGTAGGAGATAGTTATCCAAATTTAGTTTATTCAAAAGTTTCAACTCTATTATTTTTAAATCAAAAATAATTTTACAGATGAATAAACTTTAGTTTTGTGTTGTGAGTGAAGGGGATTTTAATTAAACAAGATTTATGTAGATTTAGAATATAATAACAACGAAGTACATCAAATCAAACTGTACAATTTTTTATTTAATTTCGTATTTTCTATACTAGTATTTAAAATTGAATTAAAGCAAATAAATTTTTCAGGTGGAATATTTGTTATCGGACTAGGGGGAATATTTTTTATGAGTGGATTTCTAAGTACTTCCATGGCATTTAAAAAAAAATCACCATCAGTAGATATTAAATATTCAGATAGCGAAAGGCACCTTATTAATGGAAGGAAGTTAGCTACCAAAGCTTTAGGCATTGCATCCTTGTACTCTTCAATTTCGTGCGGAATTATATTTCTTTCAATCTGGAAATTGAGTGGAGCCTCATCTATTGAAGATTTTCGATATAAAATGAGAAGTTTATTTTTTAACATTCATAAGAAAGATAACTAAGGCTCTATAATAAATAATTAGCTATTATTAAATTTGTAAAATATTATAATTAACTGTACAAAATATAAAATCAATGTTATTTATAATGAGTTAAACATTTCTGTAGATATATTATCTAATTATACAGTTTTCATCCTAGATAAAATTTTTTAAATGTGTCATTTCAAAAGTTGCAGAAAAAAAGCTTTAAGCTTTAAGCTTTAAGCTTTAAGTCACGATTCGGGAACCCGCGAAAACGACCTTACGTTTACATTTGAAATTGATAAAAAATACAACTATTCTGACTCAGTTAAAAGATTCCTGGTAATAATTGACTCAAAGCAATATATATTAACTAAATACTAGTGATGAAAGAAAAAATCTTCGACAAATAATCATCGATTCGATTGATATGTAAGGCTAAATTAAATATATTTATAGATCTCATCGAGCTGATGTGTATCCGTTGACTGTTGATTGAAATTATCGATGTTTCTCTCAATAATATTAAGATATCCGCAATCACCATGGGTAGCCCGGTCACGGCACTAACTTGAACTCGAACCTTGACGATAGCTTTCTTTAGAAATTCGTTGTTTTTTCGTGAGAATATCACTCTAGCATAGCTGTTTATCGCATCAGATCTATATCTATAGACTCGGGGGCCATTTTCTATAGGAAGTCGATGTTTTTCCACGAGAATATCATCCCGGGATGGCTGCTTGCGCGCACTATTTTGGAAAGGTCTGAAATTTAGTTTGACAATTAAAAGTGCCAAAATGTTCTCTCCATAACTGGAAGCACTCTAATACCATTAATAAAATGATCTGTCGTTTTAGTTCTCTTATCAAAATAACATAGAGTACCTAGTATGTCCAGCTGGGCCTCGTAGTTTGATAACTTTAAATTACTTTCCTAAATGATTAAAATGATAATCTCAAATTTTACACTATTGACAATTTCTCGGCTATGATATTATTGAGATCAAATAAATGTTGTCAAGTATTCGTCAAACTAACATTTTCATTTTTTAAAATTTCAGAATTTGCATAAAATAATCGACATCAGATCTAATGTCAGATCTGAAGTGACTGTATCGCTTCTAATTATTTAAACAATAAATTTATTGGCAATTGAAATTTAATAATAAATTTACTTATATTTTAATAATCATATTGATAATATCTTAAAAAATGATTGTTCCAATATTAGGGATTTTTATAAGGGCAAATTGATTTAATAACTTTTATTATTGAGATTATTGAGATTTGTTAAAAAAACGAATGCGTGATTGAGAGTCATTTCTTAATAATTACTACGATAGCCAATTCTGCAATGAAACTCGTCTCTGTACTATTTCGATCATCGGAGCTCGCTTTATGTACGTTCCAAGTACGCATAACTAATATTAGCAATGTCTATTACGCTTTTTAGCATGACTTCGGCGATTCGAGTGAAAAATTCAGCAAAAAATCATGTAAATATTGTTGATCTAAGCGTGCACATTCAAAATATCACCTAGATTTTCTTTGTCCCTTTGCCATATCCCGAGAAAACACTTTTGTGATATTAAAAAAAAAAAAAAAAATTTAAAAAGGCATTTTTTCGATAAAAACATTTCAAGGGCTTGATCGTTGAGCAACCGTTACCAGTGCTACTTGTCACAGTATACGGAAGCAAGCTGATTTTCGGCACAGTCGAGAGCCAGCCAATAGTAACGCGCTAAGAATTAGTCACCTCTGAGGTACAAAATCTTTAATTATCTCTAATTCGTTCGCTCAACTTTTATAGGACCACCTCTCATACCCAACGTGCCCAAAGAAATTTCAGTTCAAGTAATAAATTATCATTTTTTGAAAAGTCATTTGTGATTAGATCGCCTAATTACATTTTTGTTCTCAGAGATGATGTAGGTATTTTTCTTTAGTAATTAATCTTGCAGTAAGCATAAATCTGACGGTCTGCCATATGAAATATTTGAGTTTTTGGTGCCTTACACTTTTGTGCATTTTTAGTCGTGACGACTGCGCTCCACTTTGTCAATCCTCCTGCGCAATGTCCAAGCACCAGAACTGGCACAGCAAAGCGATAAAACTAATTCATACACTAATCATTATTCTTATCGGAATCACAAAAAATTTAGAAACAACAGAAAGCTGAAGAAACGATAATAATTGACTGCATATAAGCAACGGTCTACTATAAATTTATTTGTTTTCAATAATTCTAATTATACTTTAGAAGTGATACTTCTAAATAACAAAATCATCAATTCTAAACAATTAGCTATCATGATTTCTTCTAAAGCTAACTTCTGATACATATATTTCGATTAGATACCTTTTTAAAAATGAGTTGAAAAATGTATGTTTTTTCGAACAAATTATATTAAAGTTCAAGTTCAACTAAATGATTACAGGTCGGGTCTGACTCGAAATGATCGATCAGGTACTTCAGAAGTTAAAGATGTTAATCCAGTAATAGGTTCGGCTGCATATCTGTTACAATTTTGTGGTCCAGGAGGTGGGCGCTCTCCTTTCATTAATGCTTTGATTATACTCGTTGTAATTTCTGGCGTAAGGTCCTCCTAAAAATCATTATAATGTATCTAATTAATCATCAAAATCTCAATTCGTTGATAACTTTCAAATATATTTATGAGATAATTTTAACTATGCAAATGATTAATTTCATTATATTGATACTTAACAATATTATAATATATTATTTGTAAGCACATACGTATTGTTAATTTCAAGTAACTATTAGTAAAAATTAAATCAAAATTGTAACTTTAAATGTAATTTTGTACCCTAAACAGGGCCTTACAAAGGTAGGTCTAAGAATAGAATTTTTTACGTATTTTTCAAATCATTGTAGCTCATTTCCACGAATAGATCTTTTAATCTTACCGGTCACAATTTTTCGATCGCTGTAGATTTCTTTTCATTATATAAGTCTATCTCCTCTATAGCGTCTTATCATAACATTTGGAATGGCGGGCTCAGAGTTAAAATCATTGGAAAACAACAACGATATGGACATTAATAAGATCAAATTTAAAAAAATACTGTTTTCTCGAAATTTTAATTGAATGCAACCTTTTTCTGATTAGTTGAATAAGTACCAAAATTTGTGACAGTAAACTAAGCAAATAAGTGCTGCCTCGACGCACACAATATCTCGACTAATAACCGGATTCAATTGAACAGAATTGACAAAAAAAGCATAGTATACATGTGCTAAAACACATATTATACTCGGCGAAGCGTGAAGCTTTAACGCGGGACATATTTATTATAATGTGTCGTTGCTGGCAAAGCTGCAATGATAGAAATAAAAATCCAATGCCAAGAATTATCTTAATCTTGTGGCAAGAATCAAGTGAAAAACAAAACAAAAACTCGGCTTCGCCTCGGTTGCTTATTTCACGTGCCCGGGGGCTTTCTTTATTCCCGGTATGGGCCGGTATGCTATTTTACATACCCTGTGGCCCGAAAATAGCAATATTACGTTTAGCGCAGCGGCAGGAAAATGCTACTTTCGGGCCGCTGGTATGTAAAGGTCATTTTTGGTTCTTTAGAAATACATCATAAATAAAAGTTTAAATTAGTCTACTATGTATGAAACATAAGGAAGGTAAAAAAACTTTGAATTATTCAAAGGTCCAATATTAGATCTGAGAAAAAAATTTCATAGATGAAAACTTTCAAATTGATTAATAATGTGTGTTACTAATTACTAAATTAGTTATATGCTATAGAAACTTGTTATCTGAAAATTTTTTTGAATACTTACATAATAATCATCATTAACTTGCATCATTGGTGCATTAGCACATGCACCTAGGCATTCAACTTCAGATATAGTGAATAAATTGTCTGCCGAATTGCTACCAACTGTGCAGTTGGTGACATCACACACAGTTTTCAATATACTATCTGAATCTCGTAACCAACACGGGGTGCAAGTACAAACTTGTATATGATACTTTCCCATGGGTCTACGATTAAACATAGTGTAAAACGTAGCAACTTCATAGACCCTCATATTTGGAACATTTAAAATACTTGCAACTTCATGCATTGCTGCTATTGGTAACCAACCATGTTGCCTCTGAGCCAAATCTAATAATGGAATCATAGCGCCTCGTTTGTGTCCATCTGGATAAATTTTTAAAATAGAATCGATCCTTTTTTTATTTTCTTCTGTAAATTCAAAGTGTGAATTGGTATTGTCAATTTCACTGTCTCTATGCTAAAAAATTAATTAGAGAATGTTAATATATTGACCAAAATTGATACTATACAGCTATTTAAAATATATACTCACAACAAAAAGGGCATCCGATAAATGCTTAGAAGATGTTTGTAACTGCCTCAAGCTTGAAAATCTCTGAAATTAAATGACTATTTTAGTTGTAATACACTTATTTATGAGGAGATATCAAAGCAGAATTAAGAAATGAGATTTTCAAACACATTTTTCAAGTTTCACGTTTCCATTGAATATGTTTTCAAAAATCTTTGTTAAAATCTTGGGCTAAACATTCAAAAAACTTATATGAGGATGTTTTCTATGAATTTGACTTAATGTCATAAATTCTCTAATTTATATAGTCAATATATTGTAAAATTCAAATGATGGAACAATTTTCACAGGCCTTGAAAATCTATCTGACGTTCATGAAGAGCGCAAATTGTAGTTTGTTTGTTATATTTTTCAGATATTGCGCAAATTTCACTCTTTGATTTCCCTAAATTACAATTATAAAACTATTTCAAGGATACAATTGAATGAAGAGGGATGTTGCCTAAAAATTCATTCTTAATACCTTTCCATACAACGAATGCTAGATAATTAAAACACTAGTGAAATTTCAAGATTCATTTGCTTATGGTTGAACTTCTGTTTTTGAAAATTTATTTAACTTTTTTAGATTATTAAAGTTTTTTTTATTTATGCTGAGTGTCCTATTTAAATTATTTTAACTTTTTCCATAATTAAGTTATTTATTTGATTCTATTCAAATTTTTTACTCAGGAAATTAGTAAAAGATTTACTTATAATTACTCTTCTCAAATTGATGTAGATTTATTTGTACAGATACATTTTTAACGTTTAATGTTGTTAATCTGATGACTCAGATTTTTCACAAAATTTTCTTATAAATTTTTATGTAAGTATAGATACAACAGTTTTGAAAGTAAATCCAATTTTCAATATTTAATAAAATTTGCAATAGATTAGAATTCTTATTCTTAAATTAAAAAAATAACATGCAGTTGTGCATTATGTCTAGTAAATGGAAAGGTTATAGATTAAGAGTTGAATAAGAGAAATAAAAAATAAATCGTAACTTTACATGAAATAATTACCCTTAATAGTAATAATTAATTTACAGTTTAATTATTATTTTTAATTTTTATGAGTTCTGAAAAATTTGAAAAAAAAAACAGAATAGCTTTTGATTCTTTAAATTTTTTTTACTACTGCTAATTTATTGATTATAAATCAATAGATTATCAATTGATCAAAATTAATATATAATATGAAATGACAGTTTTACTTTGAAACGAAATTATTTAACTTAATCCAATGATTATCATGATATTTGAGTAAACTTATTGCACTTAATACAAAATTACAAGTTTAACAATAAAAAGTTAAAAGAACTTATGAGGGTCTACTTAAGAATAAATGTATTTTTGGACGATAACAGCAATTATATTAGTGTTGATCAATTGACTTTTAATAATAAGAAAATCTTATATGTATTCAGAAATACTTAAATACTTAAATAATTGAAAATTTTAAAATTTATATGAAATTTTATGAATATATAATCAATCTGAATAGTTGCATGTCAAAAGTTGAGAGCAATCAAGAAAATATATGATTGAATATTTTGAAATAAACAAATTTTTCAGATTTTTATAGATTAGATGACATCATGTTAATGGTAGAAGTCAAATAAAGATGAACAATACAAAACAAGAAAAAACAAGAAATTTCAAGGAGTTGCATTACATAAGTTAATCAAACTCCTAAAAAGTACAGTGGTATTCTTTCTACTAACCAGATTACGTTGAAAGGAGCCAATGAGTGCAAACATGATTTTGTGTTTATTGATACAATTTTCAATAAATTAGACGTTTAATATATTTTTTTGAACTATTTCACACCAAAGTTTGTTGTGACATAAGGCTTCTTGAATACAATTGTAATACCATATACTATCAAACACACTGAAATCAATAAGGGGTTATATACGGGAGGAAGTAATAAAACGGTATTAGGAACAAAGACTATTGCCAGATATACCTTACCACTTACCAGTGCTGTGAAAGTTCGAGACAAATGAGTGTGACGCATACGCATTAGTGTAATCAATTGTCACCTTAATAATAATAGCGCGCTAGTTTAAATCACCAATGAAGAACAAAATTTGTAAGGTTTTTCTCGCTAAAACAGCAGCTGGTCTACTCAGGGCGCTAGGTCGAAGTCTGTATTTGAAAATGTTTTCTCCGCGGAGAAGTCTTTGCAAAAATATATATGACCTAAAGTATATGCTCGCTTTGGCAAAGTTGACATATATGCTTTATACGACTTTTGCTGTCAACAGTGCGTATAGATTACAATCTTTTGTCTCGGATTATATTTTCACTTATTAGAACTTGTGGTAGAAATTTTCATATCTAGTAGACGAAAGAAGAGCAGGCATTGAACTATAGGCGTTATGCGAACTCAGTAATGGATAAATGTTTAAAAATGAATGAAAATTATTTTAGATGACCGCAATTAACCCATCAAGTCCCAAGACAGCGTTGTTTTGACACGATTCTGTGATCAGACTCTATGGCCAAAAAGTATTGGTGGCGCCTTAGCGGCTCAGCCTCAACTTTGAGTTGAGCAGGTCGATCTTGAGTCACGAAAAGAATTTCAAATTTTTCTAATGTTTTCATCGTGAAAAAACATTGGAAAATATATTTATGTTAAAAATTATTAATCCGGTTAGTTTCATTATAAATATTCATGTTCAATGAGGAACAATAATTTTTGAAAAAATCACATATTCCTCGACTCGAGGTTTTGTGACTAAGCCGCCGCGGCGCCACCAATACATTTTGGCCATAGATTTTGACTGTAGAATCGTGGTCGAAACAACGCTGTCCCAAGAGGAGATTTTTTCGACACTTTAATTGGCCATCGTATTTTTGGTGAGAATGAGGTAAAAAAAATATGCTAGTACCCAATTCGAATGTAAAATTTAATGCCCTTTCAGAATCTAACCTCAGATTTTCAAAAAAATAATCAGCCAAAACAATGTGCTGTAAGAATTTCATGAATCCTACATGCAATTTTTACAAGGGCGTTATTATAGGTGCTGTTTCCTTTTCGCATGATCAAAGCGAGCCTGATAAGAGCCTGTGCTTCCGAATCGGGTCAGATTACAGTGCTAGCAGACGTATCGCTGACGTAAAGTACTCATTTTATACATAATTACACGGAGAGAAACAATACTATATTAAATATCAACACATTTGCTAGCAAATATTGCTGAATCATTCTCCTACTTTTTCGAAAAAAAAACGTGAGCGGCGATATTTCAAAAAATCTGGAAAAATATGGCAACCTCGAGCGAGGTGATCGAACTCATTGATTACTTTCAATCAGTAGATTTATGATGGAGGTCACAAAAAGAACGTAAAATGAAAAAAAATTGTGCCTAAGTATTTGTGCAAGGTGACTAAAGGGTCGAATCGGCAGCCCGAGGTTACGATCGTAAACATTGATGTTCTGAATAAGTGTACGCGACCCTGGTGCTGTAACTCAATCGGTATGCTCTAAATGTTACGACAACTAAGGTTAACTTTATAAAAACGTAAAACGCCAGAAAACGCAAAAGAAGAAAAAATTTAACATTTGTCTCTTTCTCGCATTAGGCAGGCTACCGCTCGCACTATTCGAAGTCAATGATTTTACGCACATTTTGGTTAATTACTCATTAGTTAGTACGGCAAGGGGTAATTTTTGACATACTAATCGAAAGGTAGCGACTTGAAGCATAACATATTCGTTTTTGGTTAAGATCTGTTGTCGAATAAAAAAGTTATGGCGTAAAATGTGTGAAATTATGATGGCCTCCCATAATAGCTCATGTTAAATTTGCTATTTTCAACAGCTTCGTTCTCAAAAATTATCACGGTTACTCATGCTGAAATTTTTACAGCATATTAAGCACATTATCAAGAATATTTCTGCAAAGTTTCATAAACATCTGTTGTTGACCCGTTTTACTAAAACAGTTTAACCCCACCACCTTAACAAAAAACAGTACAGCGAGTTGACAATATAAAAGCTTCAATAGTCGACTATTTTATGAGTCAGTGCAGAGTGCTGAATATAGCTTCTGCTCAATGACAACTTCATCTTTTTTTTATTATTTTTGTTACGTGGCTCAAGTTGAAACTGAGGCTTTAAAACAATGATATCGCGCCGTTAATGCTCGATAATACTCGCATCAAGTTTCGAATGTTTACACAATCTTGCCACGTTGAAAAATTTGTTGCATAATAAAAAAAAAGGAAATAATAATGATTTAACATGTCAAGCATACTCTGCTTAAATTCTTTTTTTTTCAAGGATGAACACATTGAGAAAAGGTAATATACAGTTCATTAAATTATGAAAAAAATAACAAATATTTATTCAAAACATAACAGTTTATACACTTTTTATTTTTTTCTTTTCTTTGTAAAGCGCATTTTTTTGAACTGAAACAAACAAAAAGAGAATGCATTATTAATAACTTTTATAAATGTCATGAATTATGTATATTGATCAATAAACTTGAATACATCATGATACAAGTGCGTAAGTAACACTTTTTAGTACGGCGTAGTTTAGGGCTGGAGCGCAGCGAAGCTATGACACGAGTGCCATATATAATTTTACGTACCAGCGGCCCGAAAGTAGCATTTCCCGGCCGCTGCGCTAAACGGGATATTACTATTTTCAGGCCCGGGGTACGTAAAATCGTATACTGGCCTATACTGGGAAAAAAGAAAGCCTCAGTGCACGTGCTAATCGACCTCGGCTTCGCCTCGGTCGCTTATTTCACGTGCCCTGGGACTTTTCTATTTTTCCCGGCCTAGGGCAGTAATATACTATTTCGGGCGTAGATTTTATTTTCGACACATAGTTTAAGAAAAAACAAAAATCGATTTTTAAAACAGTTCTCAAAAAGTTCAGAAAATATTTATTTAAAAACGTGGTTTTTTAAGCTCGAATTTCATGAAAAACAAAAATTTCACACCACGTTTTTAAACTTTGCGATTTTCTATATCGATATTGAAGCATTTAAACGAAAAACTACAACGTAGAAAAAGTCTTCAAATTACTCGCAGAACGGACGCTCGGTTTTCACGGGTTTACCCCTCATACCACGCGAGTATAGATGTTTCACATCAAAAAATTTTTTTGAGAACTTTAAAAAAAAAACCTTCGAAAATTTTTTACTTTTCAAGATATGTCACGTGTTAAGGGGAGTCATACACCAATTTACTCTCTTTGTCATTTTTTTGATATAAACCACAGTTTAATGTCAATCTACATTTTCTACATAAAATTGACATCTTTGAGCCGTATTTTTCTTAGTTTTTGCACCCTAGGAACCAGAATCAACGTCTGGAGCGGAGATCGAAATAACTTGGGAAATAACACCCGGTATACTGTATATATCTTTTCAATAGGGAATTCTACAAATGAAATTTAACAGAAAGGCAGTCACTAGTAATTAGTAAACAAAAAATTTTCAAAGGTGTACTTACTGTATGGGTCAAATCTGAAAAATTCCATTTTATCTCCTTGTCTTTCCCGGACAGTAACTACTTTATGTTTACTTGCAACACTTTCCATCAGAACCATTATATCTCTGAAAAGATAAAAAATTGTATAATGTCTAAAACAGTTATGGGTTCAAATAGTTACAGTAAAGTAAACATAATATGAATTAATCACACAGATTTCGTCAGTACAGATTTACATGTATTTTAAACTTTTTTTGAAAACATCAACTAACTTAAGAATGTGTCAATTATAATTTACTATATGTTTTATTAAGGAGGAGGGGGGCGTGGGGGTACGCTATTTTTCAATTAATTTTACGATTGCTTTTTTTCATTTTATTGTCTACCTTCAACTTAAAATTAAAATCTTACGTTTATTCAAGAAAAATTAACAGAGTGAGGTCATTTTAATGCACGTACGTTGTCTCGAAGTTTAGCGCCCTTCACTTTTGGGTAGTTATGTAAAGCTTCAAAAACAACATCAAAAACACGCTATGGACATCCTAGATTACTCTCTGTCATTATATACACCTGGCAAAGACGATACAAAGAGAAACGATGAAATTCATGTTTTTATTACATCAAAATCTTTGAACGCGCTCAGTTTTTGCAATAATTTTTGTATCATAGTGTCTTAAGTTGCAAATTGTAATTATTTTCACTTTTTTGGGTAATTTTCAATGTCAAAGTGTAGCAAAACGTTCAAAAATCAAAATTACTAAAGAAAACTTGACGCCGGTACGTCAAGAATTGTTTGAACTTCAAAAAAAAATGCAGATGGTTTGTTTGGAATCACGTTTATTTGTTTGTTTCATTGAGTCTTCAGTTGCCAATTTTTTGATTTAAAGATAGCAGAGATTAAAATTGCGTTTTTTTGATGAGTGAAATTTACTTCGATTTTCTTAATTTTGTTTATTCATTGTAGCTTTTAGATTAAAAATTTGATCTATAGCAACTATGCATATTTTTTGTTGGCCCTGATGCAACCAAATCTGAAGATATTAACTACATATTTGTTAAATCAATTATAGGATAATGAAAAATTAAGTTGTGATGATTCAAAAATTAATTAACAAATTCAAAAAATTTTATTAAAAAAAAAAACAAGATTTTTATATGCAGAATATAGTAAAATATTGATCTCTGTTGTTAGAAAATATTCTATAACTATGTTAGCAACTGGTACAAAACGCTCAAGCTAGTGAGATTTCAAATGAATAGCATAAAATTAAGGTTAAAAGTATTTTAATCCTAAATAACTGATATTTTTGGTTTACATTTAATTCAATATACTTCACTAATTGCTTTGTAGCAAGGTTAGTAAAAAATACCTAGCAAAACATATTTAAGTGATATTATTGAATCGAAATACATGGGCATTAAAACAATTTATATTAAGTATGATATCATAATCAAAATGGAATTGATTAGTAAATGAAAGATTTGTTTCATTATTTTATTTTAAGTTTATTAAAAACTTAAACTAACTTAAAACAACATTAAAAGTTGTTTAATTATTTTATAGAAAACAATATTGAGTTGAGAAAACAGTAATTAAGTTAATAGGTATTTTTAACTTTTAAGTAAAAACGCTTTTTAAATAAGCATGTAATACAAAGTGATTTTTAAATTGCTGACAATTTTCTATTGCTTTGAAATAAAATATTATCCAACACTACTTATAATATTTTAAATAATAAAAATTGGCTTGAAATTGTTTTGTTTGAGTGTCAGATGTAGAACTTCAAATTATTATTTATAAAGTTCAAGAGAGATCTAAGAGAGGTGAAAGTTAAGGAAATAAAAAAAAAGTAAAAAAAAAACCCAAGAATAATCCATAACCATAAAGTTTTAACGTTGTACAAATTCAAGTTCAAACAAAACTGAAATTGGTCAATAATGAACTTCATAATTTTCAACTTAAAAATACCTACTTGCTTTTAACACGCTTCAAAAGTATGGTTGATAATTGCATTTTTATCAAATTTCTAAATGTGGGTTTTGGTTAGAAATGTATGATATCAATTTTGATCAATTGTATATTGTTTATTAAGCACTCTCAATTAATTTCGAACTTGTTACACTTCAATTTTAGAAATTTTTAAGTTCCACAGAAATAATTTTATTAAAAAATTGTGAAAGCAATTAGTTTATTAACAACATCACTATTTTGACTAATTTCATTCTAATAGAACGTGACATAACACCACAATATAAACATTAGGATTTGCACGAGGAAAATATTTGGAAACAAATGATACAGATGCGACAACTGGTGTTGAATTTATACATTAAAATAAAAGCATATACCCAGCTTGTCACTTAAAAAACAATTCTATACATATAATTGTAAACTTTTCAACATTAAGGTATTCAAAAGAGAGGAAATTTTTAATTTCTAATAATCTTTTTTTTTCAAGGTCATTTAAGCTTCGTTACAGATATAAATAAAACTCTACTTTAAGCTAAACAAGCGCCATTAAAATGACCCTAAAATAAGAATTTATGGCTTATTCGAACGTAAAACTCTTTATCGTTTCAAAACTGCAATAAAAAATTAGGGTAACTATTTTAAAAATCAATTTTTGGTTTGTTTTAGTTTTCAGATTATGTTCAAGGTCAAATTCAAGGTCCCTATTGGATTTCTGTTGGATATATGTATGTTTCAGTACTTTTATTCATGGATATTTTTACGGGTTTCCTTTCATGCTTTTGCTGCACCCTGTATAATAATTAGTAACACGCACAAATGTAATAACAAGAGAAAAAAGGTAAAATCAGCTATGGTCTATCCCTCTATTTCTTATGTACAAATTAACATTGAATGCATAGAGGCATTGCGGTATCGTATACTTTTCAATTCTCAATTTACAAACTAAATTTTTCAAATCGCTCCTAAATTTTGAAACTCGAAGAATTTATCTTTATCTTGGGTTTATTTTTAGTTTGAAGCGAAAAATTTTTTATAATTAGCCTCTTTTCATTAATCAATATTTGTCACGGTTTGTTATTTATGTTCGATTTTGATTAAAATGCTTAAATCATCTATTCGGTAAAGTGTCCACTTCGTGACAATCTGAAAATATTTATTCTTTAACCGCATACAATAAGAGGGCGCTGTTGCACCCACCTCAAATTTATCAGTTATCTTCATGTTCTTCACGTTTGATTTAAATTGAGTGAATATAAAACATCAAATTTTCAAAATGTCAATGATTGAAATTGTCATGATAATATATTTGTGTTGAATTATTTGATTAAGAAAAGATATTGAAATGGCTAAAAGAGTTGAGTCCTCTCTACTACACGATGATTACATTGATTTAATTCAATCGATGTTTGTCAGTTCTATACAAGGTTAGTTAATATAATTTTCTTAAACAATTTTATAGAGATGACTTGAAACTCGAAATGTTCAGACATATTTTTGAGTTTTGATTTATTTTTGGTAGGAACAATCATGTTCTAAGCACATTATTTTTAAGTAAATTTTAATATGCAAATTCAAACTTTATTTTCTGTGTTTTCATTATAGTTCATTAATCAATTTGATTACAAGTGTGATAATTGATATTGTTTGAACTAAAGATTATCTACGGAGTAAAAATTGAATTAAATTATTCAAATAAGTTGTAAAATATTTTGTAATTTAAAGTAATGATTTTATTCATAAGGTGTTTATAACAGATATAAAAATTATTTGACCTCCTAAAATCTATTTCTACATTACACATCACTTAGTTTCTATTATAAACTGAATATAATTTACTTTTTTATGTTAACTGCAACATAATCTTCGTCTTTATGTATAAGGCTGAGAAGATGAATTATTATTAAATTGATTATATTGTAATTACATACTTATCTGTTGTAACCTTTGGTCATCTTCACTAAGGTTCATAATATTTTATTTTAATACATTTTTGTTAACATATATGAATGATTTTTCATTGTTTATTGAATGTAATTAAAATTTCTAGAAGTCAGTTATCAGATCTATTTATATTTGAATTAAATGTTTTTGAGTATTTATAAAACCAAAGTCAAACTGAAATTAAATGAAATTATGTAAAATTATATGCAGAATGTTCAATTAAAAACCAAAAAAGTACTGTTGCCAGACACAAAACCGTTTTTGATCAGTAAATGATCACTTTTGGATAAGCAACAATTATACTTTTTCTCAGTAATAAGATTATTGGACATGAAAGAATAATATGCATAATTTGTATAATATCCAAACAAATATACTTTGAATTGTTTTTCACAGTATATTTTCCAAAATTATCATGTACTAGTCTCCCTTTATCAAAAATGACTGTGAAAAAAATAAATATTTATTTTAAATTAAACAAAAAATTAACAATAAGAACATTAAGCGCAAAGAAAATTTTAAGCAACTGTTTAGCCATAGGGCTCAGGTTTTTGTTTAACAAAGAAAGTGCAACAATACAACCCTCTTGAAAAAATTAACTTTTAGTCTTAATTCAAAAATCATTGAATTTCATTAATAAAACTCAAGGATAATAGCAGATTTTTTTTAGCTATTTAAATTTTCAGAAATAAAAAAACCTAAATGGTAATTTGTAACTTTTAAATCTGAAAAAAATGTCAAGGTTTATGGATAAAACTGTCAAAATCTCAAGTGATCATGGTAATAATTTTAAAAAATTCTCTCAAATAATTTTTTAGTTTTTGGCATCATTTTGAAGTAAACAAAACACGTTTTTGAAAAAATAAAGGTAGAAAGTAATCTTATTTATGGTTAAAAAGCATATAACAATGCATAAAGTTTCATTATCTAGACATTACCTTATAAATTTTCTACTTAAATAGTGTGTGATATATGAAGTTGATCGGTCAAGTAGCTTTTAAGTAACAGTGGCCTTCAGATTTTTTTTCATCGTGTGTGAAGATTTGTTGTAGTTAGCTGGGCTTCAAATTTTTCAAGTAACTATCAATGATATGTAAAATGTATAGATTACTTAATTTGATTTATTACATGCTCAAAAAAATTTTTTTTTTAAATTCAGTCAAAACCTTCTTACCCCCCCCTTCCTCCCTTCCANCCCCCCCCCCCCCCCCGAGTGAATTCCACGTGAATTAATTCCGCCAGGGTTCACTCAAAATCTATGTGGATTTCTGTGAAATGAAAAAATGAAAATCTAAGTATATTCCAGGTCAATTCACAAGAAATCCGCTTTAAACCATGTGAATTTCACCGAGGAAACAAGCTCGATTCCCACATGATAATTCACATATTTATTTCAAACAGTTGAATAAATTGCCATCTTCAGAGATTGTTTTGCTTTTAGGCTATAAAACGAGTTTTTGAACCATGTAATGTAATAAGGGTGTGAGAGGACTCGAATTTTCAAGTACTCGATTATGTTCGAGTTTCAGCTAAATCACTGATGCATTATAGTACTTTACGATACTAGTGGCATAAGTAACACTTTTTGGCACGGCGTAGTTGAGGGGCCCGAGCGCAGCGAGGGTCCTAATAGCTGGGCCGAAAAGTGTCCCCATGGCACGAGTATCGTACAACATTTTATAGCACTGTGCTAAGTTCACATTTATGCCCCCTTCTCCGAGCCATGAGTCGCACTTCCTGGTAACGCGAAGTGGGGTTAGCGCACAAGCGTAAGCGAGTGTGATGCGAACGCAGCGGTGCCATAATGTGCGACTTGTGCCACAGAAAAGCGTGCCATAGATGTGAACTTATGGCACGCAGTGCTATAAACGAAATTATGAATGTCTCCGTTGCATGTGCATTAGACTGATTAAAAAAATTGAAGTTTTTCAAAACCTCGATATTACAATCTTAAAGTCTTCTGTATGCGTAAAAATGAAGCCCATTTGAATAATTTTTACTGGTCGCTCAACGAGAATTTAGATTTCTGATTTGACGATCTATTTCTTCTCTGAATGTCTGAGCCAAACCCAAAAAAAGTTGTCAACTATGAGCGACACGTACTTCGATGCAAAATTTTATCACCTTTCAGAATTTGGCGTAAAAATTGAGATTGGTGCATTATTTCAGATGTCATGAGCAGTTTTGGCTAAAAAACGTGGTTTTTGTGTAAATCGAGAAAAGTGCATTTTTTTCTTCAATAAAACGGCTCAGCACGATCACTTATTGAAAAAATGTAAATACATTCTTTGATAGGTTTTTGTCTTACCTTTTCAACGTCGTATTAAGATTTTACAACGGCGTTAATTTCGCCGAGATGCAGGTGTTTTGCCACGGCCTCGACTCACACGACATTATATTGCAAGTGATTTTGATTTTATTCAATATTTTCCAATGAAGTATAATAGATACTTTTCGATTTATTTCAAATATCGATAATGAGTACCGAGGCCGCGTCAGCACACACTGCATTACATTGTAAATGAATTCGATTTGATTTTTATTTCGTACGAGCCTAGCGCAGGCATGAGCGCTCATACAGCCAGTAGGTTTATGTGTATACGAAGCATGAGTCATATTGCATGCGTTGTCGTTTGACGGAGTAACTCGCATTAACACGCACAGCGCGCTCGAGAGAGACAGAGTTACACAACGCCGCATAGACGTTACAAAGGCATGAACGTAGACACACAGCCGCTGCCGTGACGTACCGCAGTAGAGGGAGACTGGCAGCGTCTCGCCACTGCCGAACGCCGGCCAATCATAGCGCAAGAAGCATACAGACGCTACTGAGACTGAAAACATTCAATCCGTACGCCCGCCCGCCCGTGCTTACGGACGCTCGTTTTTCACAGCTTGACTTCCCATACCCAACGCGCGTATAGAAGTTTCACTTCAATAATTTTTACTATCAAAATTGTTGTATTCATATCGGTTTAACATCATTTTTTTTCTTTTGTTGATATCGCTATCTCAGCAAAATGACAACCTAAACTTAAATGGCAAAAACATAACTTATTGGGTTGAGGTTGCAACAGTGCATCTGCCGAGCGTTGAATTTTTTGCGCTCCGATTTTAAGAGGCAAGAAGGTTACAGTTGTTTTGTAATGGAAAATGTACAAGTTTATTACTTGTAACCGTTCGCCCTCGGGATGCAAGCGAATGATCCGGCGAAATCTTGCGGTGCTGTAAACGGAATAAAAACGGGGTGTCGAAATAACTCACTCGATCATGTAAAAAGGCAACAACATAACAAGGCTTAATTTATTATTGGAAAAGGCGCCAGTCACGAATGTGACGCCTGATTACATATATTACATTCAATAAATCGATGATTATAGTTATTGGGGCTTCAACACGCAATTGACATATAAGTTTACTCCGGTACAATGTACACACGCGATTAGGCCACCTCGGCTAGAGCGGCAGACACGGCGGTCGTGAGTTTGGGCTACGTGGGGACGATGTCGAGAGAGATCGAGCGTAACGAACAAAGATAGGTATGGCGCATTACGCGAGAGAGATATAGGCGACTTACATTCGCTGACGATGTTGGTTGGTGGATGATTCAGGCCGAATGTGACTGCGAAGAAGCTAGGGCCGACGAGAGGAGAGCCAGGTCACACAGTTCCTCCAGGAGCAGCTCGTACAGACACACACTCGAACTTGACGCAGAACTAGGCTATAATATACGCGTCGCTACGCACGGACCAGCACAGAGTGATCCCGCTGTCTCTCACACGTAGACCCGTTAGTCAGATCAGGCCTCCCTCCTATGACAGCTTTTCGTCTGCTCTCTCATTAGGCGCGCGAATCTTACGCACAGGTCGCGCGTCTCTCGCTACAAATTCGGCGCGTTGTGAACGGCGCCGATCCAAGTTACATCGGGCTCGCGATAATCATACGTCTCTCTCGACACGGGTCAGGACTAGGATACAAGGAAGGAATACCGCCGGACTCTGTACTGGCGTCCACTTCCTTACATACTGTTCAAAATCATTTTCGATTTATCCTCTGGAATAACACTAAGTTAAACCAGGCATTTATAAATAATTAACTGTAACTTGAAATAACACAGTCTTCCTATTTCTATAAACGCTGTAACGGGGAATGCCTTGTAGAAGAGCCGGCTAGCTCGTGCCACACGAGAATATGGTCGCAGACCCGCGTCGCACAATACAACTCGTCGATGCCTTGCTTCGACGAGCTCCGGTGATGATTCTGCGTACAGATGCTTTACGAGCCGTTGCTCGTCGAGTAATCGCGTTGCTGAAAAGGGTTGAATTGGCGATGCAAAATAAATGATTACTCGCGATTTCATAAAATAAAGTAAAAAAATAGTTTATTCGTGTGAAAATTAATAAGTCTTAATTTGATTTAATTAGGGCCGCACGCACGCTCGCAATGATTACAATTGACTTTCAGTCGCTTATTCGTCGCTGACAAAGTCGTCTGCAGGATCCACTCGCACAGGGTCGTCGCTTGATGTGGATCCGCTATGATTCGCTCGCACGCTAAGTTCACAAACACAGTTCGACGCTCGGACACGAAGTGAGGGTTCGCGCGCTACGACGATCGATCATAGGTCCCTCAGTTAATTATTATCGTCTGCTCGTCGTACTTGTGGTACGACGAGCCGCGCAAGTTACTTTTTGGTAACTTTGAATTCGCGCTCACGACTTGACGCGAAAATCTATTTTTCCGTTACAACACAATATCTGTTCTTCCTTACACTCTGAAAGCAGTTGTCACCAATCACAAAGGTCCATGAAGGTTATGCTTACATAATAGGATAACATAAAAGTGAGTAAATCGTTCGATTTCACATTAAAACAATAAATAATCCTTACTAGGCTGGATAGTTTCCATGTTACTCCAACAAATGATTTGAAGATAATTTTTAAAGATAATGCAGTTGTACATTCATCTACGATGAAAAATTCAAAATTTATAGTCAGCTTGAAATCGGAATGAAAAATGTTTAACGCCGAGTTGTTGATACTGTGATCGAACGAATCCATTTTCTGCCGCTGTTCTACAGCGCCTAATAATTAAAGCATGTGTTATTTGCCTTCCAGAGATCTCACTGGAGATCCCACCGAAAATCTTACATGAGATCTCATGTACGATAATCAACACTAACCCTACTTTCAGCGCGCCGCGCCTGCTATCTTCTGTCTTTTTCAATTTTGTCAATTTTAATATTTAAAATAAAAAAATGATCCAAAAGAAGATTATTTATTATAAAATGTAAAATACACATTAGACCTACTACTTCTTGAGCCGTCAGTAGATTAATATTTTACATTTCCCATTTATTACTACGTTCGTGTTTGCGTGCCCTATAGCACATTGCTGGACAACCAATCACAGCGCCTATATTTGGCTGACATTGAAAACCTCCCCAGTCTTATAGAATAGGATATCAGATCTCATGTGAGATTTCACGTAAGCATCGGTAGAGCCTACATGTAATCGCATCGACCACCACGCATAAATAAATCAATAAATTATAAAATTGAGCGCGCTCTACTGAAATTTCAAACTCAATTGAGATCTCCAGTAAGATCCCACGTAAGAGATCTCGGAAAATGTTTTTACAAGGGTCAAAGTAGTTTTTGCATTATTACAGTGACTCGTTCGAAAATTATATATTTTAATAAATACAGTATTATAAAATATTCAAGCAATGCATTTTCTTGGTGTATGTTTTCAGATCAAAGCAATGGATATCAACTGTCAAAAATTAAAATAGATAAATCCAATCATCGCTTTAAATTTTCGTTTCCATACGTGAAAGAGTTTCGAGATTGGGAAATAGAGTTTAACCCTTTTCATCCTGAACTCGGGCCTGACTTGCTCATGAAAGATGAGGAATTAGCAGTTAATGAACAAAATACGTTGTTGGACGATGAAAGCACGAATATTCTTAGTTGGGATCCATGGAACTATTTATCAATCAATAAATTAGTAGATAATTTGTTAAAAAATCATTTACAAAATCAGGTTTGGTTTTAAAAAATTCTATATGATTATCATTCATTCCAATTATGAAATACTATATCTATAAATTATCAAGAAAAATCTAAAGATTATTGTCAATACACCGAAGAAAACACAGGCACACAAAATAAAAAAATGCTCAGTTCCAGAGACCGGACCCAGTAGACTTTATGTTTTGAGGGTCGCTGAATTCAAATTCAAGGTCATTTTGACTAAATTTAGACATCTAAAGGTCATTTAAAGGTCATTACGATCTTACCTTCAAGGTCATTTCAAGGTAAAGTTAATGAAAAAAGGGCAAAACTTGATGAAATATTGTTAATTTCGTATGCCTTTTTACTTTTACTTTTGTAACGCTCCTTGTTTTCTTCAAACGATCGGCATAAAGGTTGCCGTCTGCGTTTAGTTCCTCTATGTTCGCTCTCCCTCTTCAACATACAGCAGTAATCAGCCATCATTGCAACATCCCGTCTACCTTGATATCGCTGCTCCATATGTTTAATGTCTTGATGAAATCGTTCCCCTTGCTCATCGTTAAAATCACCACAGTTCTTCGAGAACTGATCTGAATGGTTATGCAAGAAATTCAGTTTATAAGACATATTACATTCCATTTCACCGAAATTGTTTATCATTGTTGATATTGAAACTTTGTAGTCATCGCTTCTGCGATTACCTAGAAAATTTTCCACAACATTTTTCAGCTTTCTGAATCTCAGTCATCTTAGTTGGAAAATTGTCATCTTTCAGCAATTTTCTTATTTCTGGTCTATCGAATATTCCTTCTTTTAATTTAGCATCAGATTTATAGGATAATTCGGATTCTAAATATTTGTAGCATTCATCGCTCTCAATCAAATCTTTTTACAAATACAAATACAATAAAACTTTTTTAAGGTCTACTAATGGACTGTTAATAACATTATGATGTCCAGGTTCTAGAGAATTTTTCTCAGACCAATTGTAGTCAGTATAATGTTCTTTACGATCTCTGCTGTCCCATTAGCACTTGAAAAATGGGTACTTTGTAAATCCAGATTGATGTCCTGCTGATGGGAGGGGGGCCAACATAGAGGAAATGAACGCAAACGGCCATCTTTACGCCGATCGTTTGAAGAAAAAAAGGTGCGTTACAAAAGAAAAAGGTAAAAAGGCATGCAAAATTAACAATATTTCATCAAGTTTTGCCCTCTGTTTATTAACTTAAACTTGAAATGACCTTCATCTTGACTTTTTACAGGTTACTCAATCAGAAAGCTGAATTACTCAGCTCCGAAAACCTATACACAATCTTTTTTCGATACTTTATTGTTTTCACTAGATTTCGTCTTAAAATAAGCTTAAAATAACTCAGTATAGTGAAAATGAACTTTTTTTCAAATTCAGCGACCCTCAGAACATAAATGTGATATTTTTGCATTCTTATATTGAATTATCCAAGTTTGACCTTCAAATGACCTTGAAGGTAAAGTCGTAGAGGTCATCTGACTTCAGATTTGAATTCAGCATCCTCAAAAACCTATACAGGGATAGTTTCGAGTTTTCAAACCTATTTTTCATGATTTGACCTTTAAATGACCTTCAAATGACCTTAAATCGATCTGATGGCTGAAAATCGACGACGGATTCGGATTCAGCGACCCCAAAAACATAAAGTCTACTGGGTCCGGTCTCTGGAACCGAGCATTTTTTTTATTTTGTGTGCCTGTGAAATTTATCATTAATGTTACTAAAATTTTTATAATTTCCCTCTATGACTTATTGTTTTAATGTCTCGACAAGAATATTTATTCAATTATGATAATTTTACGTCATATTAGACAAATATTCTGAATTTTTTATCAAAACAGAAAATTCTTAGAATAGACAATATTTAATTTTTCTAAACTTCACTCATAGTAGGTTAATACAACCCATAATTTTTACACCCTTGTGTGAAAAATATGTTTAAGAAAATAGAAATTCGTTTGAAAACTTTTAATTTTGCACAATTTCAACATATCGGGTATTAAAAGCTTCAGTTTGAAACGAGAAAAAAAATCTATTTGTCACTATAAATAAAATCTGATGTACTAATAATATTAAACATATGACCAAAAATCAGATGATAAGAAAGGGCTTATAGGTATTTAAATTTTACTACATTTTTGGAAAAGATTTTCTTTTTCCTTTCCATAAAATTTTATAAAATTTTAAGATATTTATTTCTTACTGTGACACAACCATTTCGCAGAGCCTTTTTCGTTCACTTTGCGAGTTGAATTTTTCTTCTTTCTGGCGTTTTATGTTTTCCAAAAATGCTTCCTACGCCTCGTTACATTTAGCGAAACATATGAACTACAGCAAAAAGATCTCGTTCACTTGAGAACGTCCCATTCACGATCATGGATGAGACGATCGGATCTACAGATCACTTTGTTCATATACTTGAACATATTTATCTTTCCATTTTTCATTATTTTTCGTAATATCTGGCTTACAATAAATCTAATCATCGATAGAGATCTGAGTCTAATCGGCAGAACCTAGACACGACTAAACGAAGTGACGTGCCTCACCAGTCGAGTCGTTTGTCGCTGAAAATACTTCTTTTTATAATCAGAAAGATACGCGTGAAAATTTATAATCAGTGTGCTTATAATGGCAGCTAAGCAAAGTACTTATGTGCTAAAATTGTTATCACATAAGAAAATTTACTTCAAAACTCGCACCTATAACATAGGTACTTGAACATACTTTTATTGCGAAATTCAAAAACTGGCTCATTACAAACTATGGTTATGTCTCTTTTAAAAGTAAAACCTTGTAAAAAGGACGTAAATACTTCGGAGCAAAAGTTGTTCTTCCCGTAGGCACTTGTATTATTTTACAATGCGTCGCATATTGGTGACAACATGAAGTATTTAATACAATAACGTTATCATATTTATAGCACTGCGCACTCGCTACGCTCGTGTACTAAACTCAGGGTGCAGCATTGTTCTGATCACGATTCTACGGTCAAACTCTATGGCCAAAAATATCGGTGACGCCGTGGCGGCTCAGTCTCACAACTTCGAGTTGAACAGGTCTATCTTGGGGCGCGAAAAGAACTTCAAAGTTTTCTTATGTTGTCATCGTAAAAAAAACATTAAAAAATATATATTTATAGTCATGCGTGGCATAAGTTTACATTTATTGCTCGATTTTCTGTGATATAAGTGACACTCTCTGGCATCGCGGCGTTCGCATCACACTCGCTTACACTCGTGCGTCAACCTCACTTCGCGCTACCAGGCAGTGCGACTTATGCGTCGGAAAAAGGGGCATAAATGTAAACTTAGCACAGTGCTATAAAATTGAGTACGATACTTATGCCATGAAGACACATTTCGGTCCAGCTATTGAGTCCTTCGCTGCGCTCGGACCCTAAACTACGCCATGCCGTAAAGTGTTACTTAAGGCACTTGTTTCGTAAAGTTCTATTGTATTAATAATGTTGAATACAATTAGTTTCATAATAAATATTCATATTTCATGAGAAATGATAATTTATGAAAAAATCACAAATTCCTCGACTCGAGGTTTTGCGACTAAGCCCGACCGTACAATCGTGGTCAGAACAATGCTGCTAAAAGGGCATAAATGTGAACATGGCACAGAACTCTAAAATTGCGATACCTGTGGGGGACACTTGTATCGTAAATTACTGTAATGTTTATTTTTTACGATATTACAACCGAAAATGATTCTACGGAATATGATTATCTTTTGTGTAACTTTATAACATACACTGTATGAAATATATTATTCGTTACAGATGCGTTTATTGAAGAGCCAGGCTGAAAAAGTGGCATTAGAGTTGGAACAACTTAATGCCATTCCATGGTTGGAAAATACACAAATAAGTGTTAGTGACAAAAGTAAAGATCAAATAACGGTTAAACTTCTAGCCGTACTGAGTTGGAAAAATGAAAATTTTCTTGAAAAAATGAAATTCTGTTCCATTGAAGTATTATTTCAAGTCATGTATTTAAACATGCAATGTGTACATATAACTTCTGAAGTATATTTGCCATTACACTTTTATGAATTACTTAATAAACCAAAAATGATACATGTTCCCACTGAGACTACAACGTTACTTGAAAATCTTCATCGAATAAAGGAACATGTCATGGAAATGGTAATGATTAAAAATACTAAAATTACTTATGATTCTTTTTCGTTCTTTTTATTCTTTAAAAATTCTTCATTTATCATTTGAAATCTAAATTAACATATTTCCAAAGTGATAATTTTAATTCAGCTACTTCAATCATTTTTGCATTTACTAAGTATTGTGCCATAATTTGCACATTTTAAAACAGTGGATCCCAGTTGATATTATCTCTTTAGTTATGACAATATTTTGGTTTAAAACTTTCTAAATTTTCTTTATATTGCATTTTCGAATTCATTAAAAAATTTATCTGAATTTTCTTATATGGACGCAGTTAACAAAGAAAAGCACGTTTTTCTACATAGGTATTGTAAAAGCCCTAGTTTTCATTAACAGCGTCGATATATCATTTTTTTTTATGATAAATTTTCTAAAAACGTATTTTTTCTATTGTAAACTACAATACTCCTTTTTACCATTCATCGCTAAGTATTTTCTCAGAAACTCCATTAACATATTTTTTCATACATTTTAGCTTTCTAACCAATAGTCTTTAAATACAATCGAGCAAGTATTATAGCGATTTATTGTTCAATTTTTGCCTGACGATTTTTGAGCCATGCACGTTTAAATAAGAGAAAATCTCGATAGCTGACAATTACACAGACACACAAAAAGAAAATTTATTTCAGAGACCGGACTTAGTAAACTTCATGTACAATCTATGTGTTTAACCTATAAAAATACCTTTAAAAATTAACCAAAAGCACAATAGTATATACAAATTTTTGCCTTTTTGAAAACTTTAATATAAAATTTGAGCTTCTAGTTGAAAAATTGATTTTTGTTTTTTTCTAGCATTGTGAGATTGTGTTCAATCTAAAATTACTGTCCTATTCTCTGTCGAAAGAAATATGTCTGACATAGTATTTTGATTTTTTTCTCCTTATTTTGACTGATTCCAAAATTTGTTTCTTATTTTGGCCTTGAAATGACCTTGAAAATGAGCAAACAGAAAAATTGACACCGAATTTGGATTCTGCAACCCCAAAAAACATAAAGCTTACTAGGCCCGGTCTGAAATTTTTTTTCTTTTCGTGTGCCTGTGCTATAGTTTGTCAGAGCGAAATAACTTAGAGTAATTAATCGTCTACTATCGTTGTTAGTATTGAGCACGTAATTTCTTAGTAGCCTACGTCGAATCACCGGTGTGCTTCGCGGGTCGTATGACCTTGAGCCCTTGTCTGATCACGTAAGAGTGTGTTGCAGTGTATGACCAGCTGACGAAGGGACTTACTCTTCTCTCTTGAATCCACTAAAGTATTTATTAATGTATAATAAATAAGTTTGTTATTATACCATTTTGGACTATTGCATAATCCATGATGAATTCCCAGAAAATTATTGTGGTTTATGTAATAACACACTTCTTATCCACGCGGAATCGTTGTACAATATACGTGGTAATAATTTTTAATCTTCCTGGATAGCTCATCCACGTATCCACGCGAATACCTATGCAATCTTTTTCAACTGGGATATCAGATCTTATATAGTATTATCGACATCAGATTTGATTAAATATTACTTACATCAAATTTAATGTAAGATCTGATTAATATTAAAATATGAATAATTCCTACACAAATTACTGCATCAGCAGCTTCAACATTCATTACCATTCATACAACATGGATTTCTCTATTCTTCTTCACTACTAAATGAAAATCCGATGTCCATTAATTCAATAACTTCTTAGTTTAAATATTGCAAATCTGATAGTATTAAAATAAGAGTAAACTGGGTTAATATCGATTGTGTTCGATCGAATCGAATAGTGAAACATGTATAGGGGAGAAGCGCCTATTATGGCGCACGTTCATTTAGCATAGTTTGAGATATTTCAGCTAACTAAAATTTATGTAGTATATTCTATACATGCCAATCATTTAATTTTTGCAAAAAAAATTATTGCTTTATATCTTCAATAATAAATGACAAGCAATATAAAAAATTCGGCTGTTTTCATCTAATAATTACGAGTTTTAAACTTGAGAATATAGAGTGATCACAGCTCAAACGCGATTTATAGTACATATGGAGATGGAGTATTTGTGCTCTACTTTAACATGATGCTTTAATATCGACGATTCATCAATTGGTTATTGAGTAATTTGCAATATGAGAGAGCATTGTTTTTATCCTATTGCGGCGCATCATCGGGGCCAATTATGGCCGTTTTTACGTGTTAATTTGATGTGTGCCTCGAAAACAGACATCACTTCTTGATGTTAAAGCCTGAAAAGCCTATAATGCGCCATAATAGGCGAAAAACGAGCCGATCGCGGTGCAGTGACAACTTTTTTAGAATCCTTGTTTATGAATAAATAAACACATTTCTCATACAAAGTAGGGTGCATTTTATAAAGATTAAGGTATAAGGAATGAAATGTTAAGTTTAGAATTTCATATCATCGAGCACATTTTTTGTTATTAGTCAAAATGCGTTAGGTGCGCCATAACAGGCGCTTCTCCCCTAAGCATAGGAGAATCCGTCATTCCACCGGACACATTCGATGTTAACCCAGTGTATTTATCTTTTCTTCTTTTTTGATGCTCCGTTTTTTAGATATAAAAATAAATTATAATTTTATGACTAAAAATATTCATTTAATATTTCCAGGTACTAAATTCGCATGAAAATTGGAAAAAAAGGAAACAATTTATCTGTGCACTGATAGCTTTACACAGTTCGACAATTTTGGAATACGATATGAAACACTACCAAACAATTGCATTGCGTTTAAAAAGCGAAGATTATCATTATATTCTCAAGATATTTTTACCCCTAGAATTTCCTAAAAAGACATTCACATTATCAATCATTTCGATTTATAATATGACCGATCAAGGCAAAACCATTAATAAATTGATTCGAAACGTACCTTTTAGTTCTACTTGGACTTTTAAACGAATGATTGTTGAAATGATGGAATTTATCAATAAAAAATCGATATGGTTACTACTAAAACAAAAAACAAGTCTTTAGTAGTTCACATAAAATAAGTAGAACTAAACAAAATTTTTTGTAAAAAGTTTAATTATTAGCTATTGGTATCAAAAAACTCGATAGTTTTAAACAAACAGTGATAAAAATAAGCTACAATATGGTGTTTTTCAAAGAATCAAGCACATTTAATATAAGTAAGTGAAAAAATTAAGTGTTATAAGTAAATATCAACTGTTGGAGCATTATTTTAACAGTGGTAGAAGTTGAAAACCATTAAAATGGTTTTCCTCACTAAAAATTTTCAAATGTTCTTCGATGAAAAGTGACATATTTTTAATAATTTTATTTGAAAATAAAAATACGAAAGTTACAATTGATTATAATTAAAGCTCTTCCTGTATTCCCCGTGATAGTAATATCATTTTTATTCTAAATAATCGTTTCTTTACTTGTTTTTATTTGTTTGTATTTTACAAACTTCTTCACCATTGTATGAGATTAAAGTTAATTCTATCCTATTTTCACTACTATAACTACTTCGAGCATTAAAGTAATAAAAAAGTTATATATAATTACTTGGAGTACTGGGTGGTTCAAAAATTTCAATAAGTAGTTGAATAGACAAGATCCCTGTTAGAAATGAATAAATAAATTTATACTTCAAAATAAACCTGGATTTCATGTCTTTTTTTAATATCATAAAAAGTTAAAATTTTATACATGATTCCAGGTGGATTTGTGTGAATTGAAGTGGGCTCCGTATGAATTGCTGCATCAATTGAAATGTAGATTTTGAGGTTGATTTTTAAAAAGATTTTCACTCTGTCATTTAATTTCCGTTTATCATAGAAATCACGAATAAACGATAGACCCATTGTTCCAAACTGTCTTTTTTATGTACACTAGACCTAATCTAATTCTGTCCGCTGGAACGCCGAAATTCCTATGCTCATACACGTTCTACTACTCTATAGAGAGGACAGAATTAGATTGGGTCTAGTCTACTCGTTATTTTTTCCTCGTCACTCCCACCAGCACCTCCACCACATCTTATTTTTCTCAGTCTTTTTCACATAGTTACATTATTTTTCAGATGTCTTCAGAATTCCGCATTAATTTTTGTGATGATCTAGATTGAGCTAGGAAGCTCCAATCGAAAACTTGAAACGGTCAAAATTTATTAAAATTTTACAAGGAATTCAAAAAAAAATATTTTCAAATTTTTTACCGGAACCTTTGGGTTTCAGGAACCTTTTTTCTTTAAAAAAGCGTTTTTCAGCCATAGATGCTATCGCCTTCAATTAAAAAATGAAGAAGAAATGAAAGAAAATTTTTTTTGCAGTTTGTATGCGTTATGTGGGCTTTGTTTTGCATCGTAGCGCCGTATATGTATTTTCAAAATTTACAATGATTTTTTTTGAAAGCCTGAAGCACTCAAAAAAATCTGAAAAAATTCAAGATTGTTCGGATTGTTAAAAAGTATTTTTATAAATTTTCTCCGATTTTTTAATTACATCAAGGCTTCAGAATAAATATGGCCGATTCTCTGTGAAATCGAATGGCCAAAAAATTTTTTTTTCTGCAAATATGAAAAACTTGCTGTTTCCGATGTCAGAAATGTCCCCAAATTTTATTAGAATTTTTGGGACCATCTATCACTCTTTTTCAGGGGCCCGAAGTTGGCCATTTTAGGGTTTTTTTGAAATTCATGAAAAATCACAAATATTCAAATAATTCCTGGATCAGGGTAGAATGATTCAAAAGTAAAAGTGCCCAGCAACTTTTTTGTTGGAAATTGTCCAAATTTTCAGAAAAAAAATATGCCAAAGTGATTGGAGCCACCCAAAGAGAGCATAGTGGGAAAACATTAAAAAAAAAACATAAAACAAGAAATCTACTCGAGTTCGAACCGGACTTTCATTTCCTAAACTATGTAAAAAGCTTCCCAAAGATGTCAACTAATGCCTGATAAAGTTTTGTAATGGGTCTTAAAGTTTAACGCAATGTAGACAACAATGTGTGGCGAAAAACATGCAAAAAAGGCCTGAAAATGGCTGTTTTTGGTGATTTTAGGCATTTTGGGCCTATTTTTGACCTTTTTTGCATGTTTTTCGCCACACATTGTTGTCTACATTGCGTTAAACTTTAAGACCCATTACAAAACTTTATCAGGCAGTAGTTGACATCTTTGGGAAGCTTTTTACATAGTTTAGGAAATGAAAGTCCGGTTCGAACTCGATTAGATTTCATCATTTATGTCCCTTTGGCAGTTTTTTTGCTTTACACTTACCTAGATTGTTCCAATCACTTTGGCATATTTTTTTTCTGAAAATTTGGACAATTTCCAACAAAAAAGTTGCTGGGCACTTTTACTTTTGAATCATTCTACCCTGATCCAGGAATTATTTGAATATTTGTGATTTTTCATGAATTTCAAAAAAACCCTAAAATGGCCAACTTCGGGCCCCTGAAAAAGAGTGATAGATGGTCCCAAAAATTCTAATAAAATTTGGGGACATTTCTGACATCGGAAACAGCAAGTTTTTCATATTTGCAGAAAAAAAAATTTTTTGGCCATTCGATTTCACAGAGAATCGGCCATATAGATAGAAAGTGAACGTTTATAGGGGAGGAAGGGCGTCCAAAATTTTGATTTTGGCACTTTTTTATCACGTACTATAAAATACCAAAAGCGCTTCAAGATCGGTGATATACGTGCGCAGGTTTATTTAAAAACTTCTGAGCCTTACCCAATTGTATCGTATTTTTTCATATTATACTAGCGCTGTAAAAAATTAAATTCGCTCGATTTTCATATTATTTTTAAGAAATTTTGGAGGAGTACATATATTTCAAAAGATATATTTTTATTAGTAATGATCCAAAGTTCATTGTAGAGTATTATAATTAAGTTTATTATAGTGTAAAATCTTGAATTTTTTTCATTTTTTATCAATATTATTCTTATAGAAAATACTTAACGCTTCGCTTATCAACTGTTGGATCTTTTTTTATTCAATTTATAAACTTAACTGTGGTCCATAACTGGGGCTTACGGTATCATCCAGTTATAAGTCACCTGTAATAATCTGTAATAATATTTGTTAAAACAGTTTGATATTCAATTTTCAATTATTTCTACTTAGTGCTTGAAAATAAAAGTTAAACCTAGTCCTCAGTTCAGAGTTATTGATGGTCATAGTACGGTGACCTGTAAGTAGTTAATTCGCATATTTTGCTTTAATCACTTCTTGACTAACATTGTTATCAAGTGTAAGTTTTTATTCGAATTAAGGTTACCTTTCTTGCTTTCAGAAATTACTTACAGATCATTTTTTTATATTATACACAATTTCTATAATTAAGCATGAGAACGTTTTCTTAGGTGGTCCATAACTGTCCACTTTATCCTAATGGACAAAAACTTTGATAGTATTACAATAGATTTATAATAGCACTACAGCAGTACTATAGTAATGCTATAATAGTGCCGTGACGGTACTGTAGTATACTATACATATAGTAAACTGACAATATAAAAATAGATTTTTTCAAATTATCCGGGACGCCCTTCAAAAGTATCAAGGTATCAAAAAAATATTTCCCTTGAAATAATTTTGTCTCATTTGAAAAATTTTAACCCGTATTTAAATTTTTAAATTTTTAAATTACTAAAAAATTTTCAATTTTTTAGAATTAACTTAATTTTCAAAATAGCCGTTTTTTCGAAGCCTTTTTCTGACTAAATTTTTTTTAAATATTGCCAATTTTAAAACTATCATACATTGAATTGAAAGTTGACATCTAAACCTCAAATTTGATGTCAGGAAAAAATTTTTAAATTTACCAGAGACCCGCATCGGTAGGTTTGATGTTTCAAAGAGAGTAGAAACATGCAAAATGCGACAAAACTATGAAAACCTTGTAAAAGCTCACAAAGTGTGCTTAAAAATAATCGAAAACCTCCTATCTGGGGTACTTTTTTATAAGAAATTGAATAGTGACCTTGAATTTGACCTTGAACGTAACCTCAAAGTTACAGTGAACCAAAATTATCACACGGTGACCTCCCTCATTTCACGTTGAAATATGCATTTTGTTTTTTTTTTCTTAAAGGTCATTTTAGGGGTGCTACAGAGTCAAACACAACCCCTATTAAACCTAAAATTAAGGTCAGATAAATTATTTATTTTTGCACTATAGCGATATTTTTTAAGCACACTTCGTGAGCTTTTAAAAGGTTTCCGCATAGTTTTGTCGCATTTTGTATGTTTCTACTTTCTTTGGGACTTCATACCTACCTATGTAGGTCTCTGGTCAATTAAAACATTTTTTCCTGACATCAAATTCGAGGTCTAGATGTTAACTTTCAAACCAATGTATGAGAGTTTTAAAATTGGCAATACTTAAAGAAAATTTAGTCAGAAAACGGCTATTTTTAAAATTGAGTTGATTTTTAAAAATTAAAAATTCGCCTTGGGGCATGGGTTAAAATTTTTGAAATGAGACAAAATTATTCAAATTCTAATATTCAAATTCTAAAAAAGCACACGAGAAGTAAATTTCATACGATGAAAAAACTTGAAAAAAACTTCAAAATTATTCGAACAATTTAATCTATTTTGTAATCAAACGTCAAAGTTGAATGCTTTATTATTGTACATTTTTTATTAATGCCGAGTAGAGCTTTCGATGACAATGATATTTTTGAGTAAAGCTAATTGTTTTTTATTTAAAAATTGTAATGTTATCTCTTGTATTAAATACCGCATTTTATTGTAACTGTATTTTGACCAGTATATCGTAGAATTGTATACATATATATATACGTACGTACAATACATATACAATGGTTACTCATTGAAACAATAATTTGATGTAATATCAAACAATTACTTTATTATACCAAGTACGAAATGAAAAAGTTTTTGACTAGTTTTGTAAGTGATATTTCTTAATTATGAAGTGATTGAATAAGTATATAAAATAAGATAATAATAGTCCTTGGCAATCTGTTGTTTTATTGGTGGCAAGTGCTTCATAACGTTTGATTGATTATAGTAAAGAAGGTTAAAATTATTTCTCTATGTTCACAAAATTTCTAGTTGCAACAGTTTCATCAAATTCATCATGATTATAGTTTAATTTATTTCGATTTTTTAATACATTTAAGGCTTGATTCATTTTTTAAAATATGATGTTACTTCGTTTTTATGAATAAATTTATGAACTTCTTAAAATAAATTCCTTCTCAGAAAATATTAAAAATATAAATTTATGGCAAGCGGATATCAATACTAATAAATAGTGTATGAAAACATCAAAGAGTACAGTTATATCGATTGCTATTTTTAATTTTATATCTTTTGACTTTGATGAAAATAATTTTAAAACATTTTTGCTTAGTATTACTATAAAATACGATAAATGATCATCGTAATTATTAAATTTTATTGGTTGTTAATAAGTTGATATCAATCGAATATTCACAAAATTTTAAAATAATAATTCTCCGGATCTTATGAGAGGTTATAACCTCAACTAAAATAATTAACGAATTAATGAATGTTTATAAAAAAATTTGCAAACAGTCGTATTTTCATATGAAATTTTGTCAAAGTTCTTAAAAACTTATATTATGATATTTATAAGACTTAATCAAGTTACTAACCTAGCTTCAAAAAAGTTTACAGCGTTTGGCTTATTGCATACGTAACGTAACATAAACAGAAAAATTATCCATTTTTTCAAAACCTAACACTAGCTGGAACTTCGAACCAAAAGTTAATATGACTATGTCAAACTTGAAAAAAAAAAAAAAAAAACAGGACAATAGTACTTTGTACACTTTTATTTATCGAACTAGCTATAATTTCCAGCCAGAAATTTTTACATTTTTTTCAATCTTTCAAAGAGAAACATAAAAAAATGTTTAAATTTCAATTAAAATCTATAAAATTTTATACGAAAATTCGACCTATTTTAAGTTTTTTAATGTTTATAAAAGCATATAAAAGTAACGTCGAAGTAAATGCAATTTTGAAACTATGAAACAATTTGATTTTTGGATAGCTTCTGCTACGTTTCAACAACGTACAAAAGGTTCCGATTGGTAATATGTTCTAAATTTTTCATAAGTATAAGTAAGTGCATAATATAGTGATGTCGCCTTGAAAAAAAAATTTTTTCCATGACATAGGACACTAGCGGTTAGCAAACGCTTTGGAACTGTCACTGAAACGTTACATTGTCACACCCAATCGATCAATATGTTGCCAAAACGTAGCAGAAACTGTTATGAACCCGAAACACAAACTGATTCTTGGTTTTAGAATGACAACGTTAGTGCAACTTTCTGTGTCAACTGGGAGGTAATACTAAATGCTAGAAATATTCAATCATTTGATGAAGTAACGTAATATATGTGCGATCTACTCATTTATTCTGTAATTAAGAAACAAAAAAATTATAAACTAGGTCGAGTTAGAAAAAATTAATAAGTCAGATTTAAAATTTAAGTAAATCAACCTGCGCAAAGGGTCTATGGATTTTCCTGAATATGTATATTAGTTCCTTTAGCGTTTCAGGATATGTCAACAATGTTAAGTCCAATTTAACAGCTATTAAAAAAAGAATACATTCTTCAATCGTAATGAAAAAAGTGTTTTTATCACTCTCACCTAAAAATCGCAACATTGCCGCTAGTTTTGGGCACTTAGTGCTACACTAGGCCCAATCTAATTCTGTCCGATCCAACAGAGTAATGGAACGTGTATAAGCATAGGAAATTCCTGCGTTCCATCGGACAGAATTAGATCCGATCTAGTGTACAAAATATTATATGCAACTTGTGTTTACGATACTAGTGGCATAAGTAAAACTTTTTGGCACGACGTAGTTTACGACGTCCTAATAGCTGGGCCGAAAAGTGTCCCCATGGCACGAGTACCGTACAACATTTTATAGCATTGTGCTAAGTTCACATTTATGCCCCCTTTTCCGAGCCATGAGTCGCACTTTCTGGTAGCGCGAAGTGAGGTTAGCGCACGAGCGTATTCGAGTGTGATGCGAACGCAGCGGTGCCAGAATGTGCGACGTATGCCACCGAAAAGCGTGCCATAAATGTGAACTTATACCCCGCAGTGCTATAAAGTACTATACCGCATTGAAAGACGTGAAGGAGGAACCAACTCATGGCTACCTCCTGAAATAGTGATGATGTGAAAAAAAATTGTTTTTTATGTTGTGAAACATCTTTTTATATATAAGTTTTGATAAAAAGATATAGCCTTTTATTTGGAATGAAATGAAGAATTTAAGTAGTAAAAGGCTGTAAATGAAAAGATGCAAGCGAATTGAAAGTTTAACCTCTTCAGACTGGCGACTATAACCTGCAATAAAAAAAATTTTTTGCAGTGAATTGGTTGAATGGGAACTATCTTATTTGAAATACAATAATTGTGCATAATAATAATATCGATTGCAATGCTTACTGTTGTTTATACGTGCATGTACACTAGACTGTTCGCAATTCCCCGAGTTGCTCAAATCCTCGCACTCACCCCTTGAAAGCTCATCATTTAGCTTACAAAGAAAGAAAATCACTGCCCGATCTCGATAAGTCAACTCTAGATAGTGCCACACGCGTCAGCTTTTTTCACATTTAAATAACATGGGAAAATTTAAAAACAAATGTAAATTAGCTAAAATATAATTGTACGTGTGCGCGAGCGCTCGAGCAGCGAGCCGTGTGTAAGTCGCGAGTCAGACGAGTTGCAGCCGCGGTGCCGGATGGACGCGCGCTGAACGAGCTCAATAAGTAATAACTGAGGTAGCACGAGAGAGTGAGAGTAATTAAGCACAGGTCTTACTTGAATATTAATAAAGTTATATTTTTTTTACTTATTAATTTTTGGCTACCTAGATTATTACACAATTTATAAATGTACATTACTTAAAAGCGCCAAACCTCGGGTTTAGCGACAGTTTTCACTTCCACGTAAATCCATTATGGCTAACCAATACTGTAACCTCGTATCTTACCCCCCGACGTACCTCGTCGGTTACGTGTGTCCTTTGGGCTTGTGGATCCGTTCTGCACGTCCGGGGTCTACCTATAATATGCATGCAATACGGCACAGGAAAGCTCTTTACACTCACACATCCATCAAGAATCAAACACTCAATATCAACAATAACAACTACCAGGTTTATTCGTATTAAATAAACATTATACACGGCCTCAGAAAGCACCCGAATACCCGGTTGACGGCAGTTAACAGGAAAAAGCTATGGGAATGTATGAGCAGATTAGGCATAAGTGATTATTTGATAGAAAGGATTAAGCAGTTATAGGAGGAAACAAAAGGAAAAGTAAGATGGGAGAAGGAATTGTCGGAAGAGTTTTGGACGATAAAAGGAGTAAGGCAAGAATGCATTTTGAGCCCAATTTTGTTTTGTTTGTATATTGCGGAAATGGAAAAGAGGTACGAACAGAGGAATGTAGGAGGAGTTAACATAGGAAGGAAAAGAATTTGGTCGCTTGCGTACGCAGATGATGTTGTGATACTGGCCAAAAATAGAGAAGCGACGGTGGATATGTTAGAGAGTACGGAAAAATTCTTCAGAGAGAGACAATTGATACTAAGTGTAGAAAAGACGAAGGTACTGATTTTCAATAAGAAGAGGAACCAAGGAGCGGAAAAATGGAAGTGGAAGGAGGAAAAATAAGAAGAGGTGAGGGAGTTTGAATACTTAGGAGTAATTTTAAATGCAGAAGGGAATTTCAAGAGCCAAGTGGAAAAATTAAAGAAGAAAGGAATTGTAGCAGCAAAAAGTGTATGGAGTTTAGGAGAAAAGAAATGTAAAGAAGACTTCAAGAGAAGGATGATGCTGTTCAAATGCCTGGTACAAAGTGTGATGAGTTACGGAGCAGAGTTATGGGGATGGAATGAATGGAAGGAACTGGAAAAAGTGCAGATGGATTATGTTAGGTGGGTACTAAGCTTGGACTTCTGCACCCCGCGTTACCTGATAGTGAGAGAGACAGGAAGAATAAAAATGTTTAGGACTGGATGAGAAGAGCAGTAAGCAGCAAAAATGTGCAAAGGCAAGCGAAGAAAGACTGATAAGGATTGTCTGGGAACAGCAGGCAAGAGAGGACATAGATATGGAGAGAAAAGCAGCTTTAGGAAAATTAGGTCTAAGCTATAGGTACGTGGAGGTGGAAATTAGACAAGGAAGAAAAATTGAAGAAGAACTTGAGAGAAGATTAGTGGATATTACAAAACAAGAAGTGGAGGAAGCAGTAGGTAAGGCAAGGTATAATAAGGATTATGTAAAGTGGAAATGTGAGGAGAGGCCAAGATACTTAAGGACATTTAGAAAAGGTATAGACATCAGGATCATGGCAAGAATAAGGTGTGGAAATTTTGAGGAGAGGAATAGGTACTGGGAAAAAAGAGAAGGAAGATGCATATTCTGCGAAGATAAGGATAGCGGCTTAGTACACTATACGGCGTTTGATTCTGCAACAACCTCCAAACGTAAACACAGCGAATTCGGGGCCTCTGCCTATGCTGGTCCGTATACTATTGTTATTATTGACGCCTGTTATACACACAGGCAGTCCGACTTCGCTGAGTTTACGTTGGGAGGTTGTTGCAGAATCAAACGCCGTATAGTGTACATGTGATGAACAAATGCGTGGAAGTGAAGAAAATCTACAAGAAAACAAGTGAGAAAGTATGGAAGTTAGAAGAAATCACGAGTCAGGAGGGCAATGGTGAGATAGTAAAGAAGATGAAAGTAGTAGATAGATTGATGAGAAAGAAAAGAGAGGAAGAGGTAGGACGTAAGTTATAATGTATAGAAATGTATAGAAATATGTAGAAATGTGTATTGGTATAAGTTTAAAGAGTATTACTGTATCTAATGTAGTAATGGTAGGGAAACAGTATTAGTGTACTTGTCATTAGTGTATAGAATATGTGTGTGGTTGTGTGCAGGACGAGGAGTAGTGAGGATGGATGTTGAAGTGTGTAAGTAAGAAGGTGTGGACGAGTGTAAGTGTAGCTGTAAGGTTTTCTTTTCTAAAATTTATTGTATATGCATATATGTAGGATTAAGAAATATTTATGTAATTATTGTTTGTAAAAAATATAAAAATGTTCAAGTCCATTTCTGGGCCTAACAATTGGCTGAAATAAAGAATTATATATATATATATATATATATATACAACGACTGAGGACTGGGCCGCCCGACTCACCACACGATGTCGAAATCTTCTCCTGGTCCAGATCCACCCTTGGCTGTCCTTGTGGTCTGCTCGGCCGTTGGATCCGCTGGTTCTCTCTCGCGCACTCGGGTCGACTCGCACCGACACTCGCACTCTCCACTCTGGCGACGTAGGATCTTACTAGCCGCGCGGTACTCGTCAATCCGACGTAGACATCCCCGAGGATGTCGCGCTCAACTCGCACACTCGAGCTCCGTTCACTCTCAAAGCAAATCTTCGACTCTCTCTTCTGTTCATATGTACGCTCTCGTATCTCAACGTATACGAGTGTTTACGTTCTATTCTTTCACACTTGGCTTATAACTAACTATACACTCGGCAAGTCGACGACGGTTCGTCAGGGCGGCCCAACAAATAATTCCAGTTCCGGCATTACAATACTTATGAGAACCCTCCGAACAGAATTTTGATTGTGCGCACATGATATGCCCAAAAAATCAAGAAAAAAATGCATATTAGCATTGTTTTTCGATATTTTATAGCAAAGACAAGCGTGAATAATTATCTTGGATATAACATCGTAAAAAAAAAGAGATCAAGACCTTTAATATAAAAGCACTAAAACCTATCTACGTTCATTAAACCAAAATTACAGGTGTTCAAAGGTTCTCTGAAAATTCAAGAATCGAATCTGTTTTGGACGGTTCACAGATTCAATACTTATGTATGTGCTTTTTTAATTTTTATTTGCAATGATTTAAAGCATATTTGATCGATTCATGCTTAGTGATTCTTACAGGTCTTGCTCTATACAATAAGACACGAAAGTTAGTTTTGCATAATTCTATCTGTGGGAGATTCCCAGTAGATCATTAAAGTAAGTGTACACATATTTGCCTCTCGGTTTGAAGAGGTTGAATGTAAATAGGCGAGAAGAGCGCGTTATCAAATGTGATTTCCCCAGACCTTTTTACATTCCTATTGTGATCGAGTGGATCAGTTTACTATTTTTTGTAACTTTCGAACCCTTCTTACATGACTTAAAACATGCCAAAAATTTTTATAAAAATCCTAGGAACCCGGGCGCAGTTTGATTCAAAAAAGTATAAATCTGACCCTTATAAGTTTAAT